AGAGATTCATAGACTTCAACGGGATCGAGTCCGCCGGGTCCCAGGCGCTTCTGTCGCTCTTCTTCTTCCAGTTCCTTCATGGCCTTCTCTATGCGGATCTTTGCCCTTCCTCTAACTCGCTCCTTGAAAGACTCGAGCTCGTCGTTAAATGCATCCTGGTACTGCTGATCGGCCGTCTGGTTGGACGCATACAACACAAAGACTGGGTTTTAAAGTTTTCCAGCACACTTACTATCAGGAATTTTGACTGAATCTTTGAGAAGAATACAGGAAACTTAATCAGTTTAGTTTAAAAACTAGAGGAGTTAAACTGCACACCGATGTTCAAAAGTCTTGCTTCTGCATTTGTTCGTTTCATATTTGTTCCCCAAAGAACCAGACATTCCAGAAATCATTTTTTGAACGCTTTGAAAGTTTGCTCTTTAGACGTTTGATGTTTCTTCACATCTAATTATTACCATTTTCAGATAGATGGAATCATCTTAAGGTTGATAAATTGCTCCAATGCTGAAATATTTCAGATATCTACAGATTATATCTATAGATCTATAGATTTGTTTTAAGTTTGACTTCTTTACGCTTTGAAGTCAGTAGTGTGATTTTTTTTATTTTTTTTTCAAGGTGTTGAGAGAGTAGTGAAATATACATAGATAATATATAAAATATAGGTAAATATAGGTTAGCCATAAAAAACATACATATCAATATCGGTCCAAATTTTCATATCAGGGTATCCCTAATGTTAATCAGCTATGAGAGAGACTGAAAATGGCTGATGAAGAAATCCAAAATTTAAAGAATAAACTGAAAAACCTTCACGAAACATAAAGAAATATTCTAAATGCAAAAACCCCAAACATTAGTGGGTCTGCAATCGTTCTTTATGTAAAAAAAAATTGTCACTTTTCAGTGACAGTATCTTCTGATTAGCATTTAACGTGCAGCTTTAAATGATAAGTGTTTTTTTGTTTTTTTTATTGGTTAAACAAAACCGCCTACTTACCTTAATCTTGGAAAAAAATTGACGGAAGCAGCCACGGGGATCCACTTTCAAGCTTTTTGCCAACTCAAGTATGAACTGCATCACTATGGTCTGATGAGCCACTTGCTCCATCAGTGCGTGTTTCTACAAAAGAAGAACGCATACTTGGAATAGAGTCATGTGGGGATAACAGCGTGGGGGGAAAAAGGAAGGGCATTACTGAATGACACCCTAAACAACATCTTATTTACATTTAAATCACCATTGCCATTACCGAATTGAGAGTGAAACACAATTCAATAATAGCAATGTGGATAAGTGTGGAAAAAGAAAAAATGCTTACCTCTTCCACTTCAAGATCAATGCACATGATGACAAGATAATTGGCAGTTTCTTCGCATACAAGGTAAGGATTGTCAGAGAGGTACTTCTGGCTGTCGTCCCAACGCCGCAACATCCCTAAAATAAGACAGTAGCAAATAAACATCTGTACTTCCAATCTGTAACAAGGAATACATTTATGCAGACAAAATGACTTGATGGTTGTCAGTGGCCCTTACCAAAATGTTTGATCTGCTTCTCATACTTCTCCACAAAGGTTTTGTGCTTTTGCTCCTTCTCCTCTTCGGTTTCTTGTCCAACCTCAGGTTTGACATTAACGATACTCTGTCAAGGATGCAAAAAAAAATAAAAAATAAAAATAAATAAGCAATTATTCACTCATTAGTGTTTGAACAGCTGGAAATTAAAGATACTATCCATAATCTATAATTATTCCGGTCAGTGGTGAAAGTTTTAGTGCGCAAATGACATCTAGAACATCTTTTATCTCACAAATCACTCCTTTAAACTAAAAATATTCCTACTGTTAAAGATACCCAGGGTTGAGTTGTCTTACTGAAGGGAGTTGACTCAGAGCCAGATGTTTTTTTGGTCAATGGGGTGTTTAGAAACAAAGACAGAAGAGGCTAAAAGTAGATGCAAGAAGATGATTAAAAGCAAAGCGCATTTTCAATAAGTCTGGTTTTCGTTCAGGCTGCTGCAACATAGCATTAGATTTTGGTAGTTGCTGGCTGATTAGCTCCTTTGCTGTCTTGTGCTTTGCGGTTTGGACCATTTCACACTCGTCTTTCCAGCATACAAAAATGAGTTGCCAGCCATTGGCCGTCATCTCAACAGACCGAGGAAACATTTTGGTAAATTGTCAAAGGAGGAAACTGACCTGCAGATCAATTTCAGTAGACAACAGAAAAGCTGAAATATGAGAAATGTTGGCAGCCTTGGAGAACATATCAAATTAAGGTAAAAATTTACATTCCCTAGGAAGGACATAGAGACTCCTATTCATAGTTAGCAATGCTGATTACATATAAAGTGTTAAAGCCAGACAAAGCATAAACTCTAAATAATTTTGTCTTTGTTTGACAAAAAGTGTGGCAATGCCTCTGCTCCTAAAAACAATGATTAATAAGCATTCCTTAAAGGAGGGGCAGAGATAAGTATTTTGAATGCTGTACAACAGTTCTTAAAGTAAAATTAAATTAGCAAAAATCACAATTTTAAAGATCCACATGACCTGGATATTGAAAATAGGTCAAAAATCACAGAACAGTAGTGTTTTACCACGAAAAAGTAGAAAAATCATGTTTTGTTATAAAAACAAACTACATAAATGTTAATATCATTTATTAATACACTGATATTGTGAATGTCTTTCTTTAGAATATAAAGGAAACACTGAAAAATAAAAATCAACGAGAATCATGCTACATTTTGAGCAGCACAATAAATTGTGTATTAAAAACGGAGACCAATTTAAAGAAGTTGCACTATTATTTACACCTGACATCTACCAGTACAAAGGATATAGAAAGTTTTACTAAGTAAATTGTTGGAGTGTTCAGATTTTTCAATCAATGAGGATAAAATAAACCCATAAAAACATCAGATTCTGGGAAATTGCTGCTGAAAATCACGTGTTGCTTAAAGTAGCAATGCTGATCTGTGTCACCTTGCTGAAACCATCTCTGCTGAGCGTGTCCACATTCCAAGGCATCTTCTTCTCCTCTCTTCTGTGTTCTTCCATCTTCTTCGACCAGTCCCGTTCCTCTTTCTTTAATTTCTTCTCCTCCGCCTGGACTTTGTTCAGCTCTGTTTTGGCATCATCCGAGGAGGCGACGCTCAGCTCCTGCAGTTTCTTCTGCGTCTCTGCCAGCTTACGCCGACACTCCATTAGACTCTTGTTGATTTCTTCACCTTTACTCTGAAACTCTTCCATTCTCTCCACACGAGCCTGAAAGTCATAAATAAAAGTTTTATCTTCACCCAGCACAGTCACCCATTTTCATAGATTTGCAACAAAACCAACATAGGCTAAATACTTAAGCCTGGTTGAAAAAAGTAACGGTGATTTGTGAGGAGCAAGACAACAGAATGTATGTGCAGCCTGGCCAGAGAAGTAAGATTATCAACATTATTATATTAACTACTTCAGGCTAAGTTGAGTTTCAACTGTACCTGGTGTCTCCATCTAAAGAGGCTCGGTGTGTCGATGTTAGGGTGGGTATCATCTTCATCATCTGAGACCTCAATGTGGTCCCACACGCTGTAGTCTATCCTGGACATCCTGCCAGCTACAACACGAAGCTAACCAAGTTAGCCTCCTACAAGTCGGATAAGTTGGAAGGTTAAACACACTTGACTAGAAAATGTAATTCTGCAGCAAAAAATATCGATGTGGAGGCACGTCTCAGTAATGTGAGTTGGCTGAAACAGACAGTTTTTTTTCCCAGAGCAAACACAGTTGGACCTCCCTAGCGACTACTAGCTAGATGTAGCTACAGAATTCTAGAAAGAATCGCTCCTGCAAGTTTCCGCCCTACGTCATCACGTCGGCCGTCAGATGCACGTAAGGTATGGCGTCTCAGAGCAGAACATATTCGGAACAAAAGGTAGAGACAAGATTGTGATTTTTTTATTATTATTTTGTCAAAAAGGGGTATATAAAAAAAAAAAAAAAAAAAAAAAAAAACTTGCGGAAGAGCTTTTAGAGTTGCAGAAAGATTTTAGGTCGTTTACAAAAGATGAGCTCATAAAACAAGTTTTAGTTAATCATAACTTGCTTTTAACTTATTAATGTTTAAGTTAAAGCAGATATTATTTGTTATAAAGCCGTACCAAAACTGTTTTCAATACATTATTTAAAAATGGAATTTAGTTTAACAATCCAGTTCTTAAATAGAATTAATATAATAAAAATAAAATAATTATAATAAATAAACAGACATAAGCCTATTTATATAGTTATTGCAGAATTGCAATAAACCGATTCTAGATTAACTTTATTAGATGCTTGTCATCTAATAATGTGTGCAACATAAATATCTCTATTGAAAACATAAAATATAGAAAAACTAAAAGGAGGATGCACAGTTGACTTTTCTTACAAACAATCTCATCATATACCTTTTATCATATACCTTTTTAAGTCAAAAAGTAAATAAAGGAGCTAGGCTTTTAAACATATATTTGGAATTACCATTTCAACATTTGTTGCACATAGGAGTAATACATTTTGTGTTCCTATTCAAATGTCAGAATGTATTTTAGGAAATGAAACAAAATCTTTATTTCCCTGTATGAGTGCAGTGTTAGTTTCTATTTCAATTTCTAAGTTCAGAAGGATAGAGAGACACTGAAAGGATAGGGAACAAAATATTTATCTTAAAATTTAAAGTGTTGAAATGCACGTTTTAATGTGTCCAAAACATATGTAATTTTTTTCTCACTGTATTTTGTCAATTACACAAGAGTTTGTCAGTTAATAAAAACTACAAATTTAATAATGGTAAAAATGTATAGAAAGTATGAATAAAAGTTTTACACCTTCTATATTAGAACTTTAATTCCAATTAGTTCAATTAGTTGAGGGGGTTAGCCTCATAAGCATGCCACTTTTGGGTATGAAACAAATAACTTCAAATTATAAATACAGTAAGAAGATAAGAAGACTAGAAGATACTTTGGCAAAATGTCTCATTTTATTTTAACAATTTTTGTTATGTTTACAAATGAGCAAGATTTAAAAGGCCAAAAAAAAAGTCCCCCCCCATATCTTCCTTATCATTTTTTTTTTCATATAATGCTGCAGAAATTCCAGAAACCTAACAATAAAGTAGGGTTTTGGGTTCAAATCCCTGTCTTGGGTCTTTCTGCATGCTCTTTTGTGTATCCGCTAGTTCTCTCTGGGTACTCCAGCTTCCTCCCACAATACAATAAACATAACTGTTAGGTTATTCAGTCTGTCTACATTTACATTGGGTATTAAGTGTGTGCATGTGTGTCTCTTTGCTGCCCAGTGATGGACTGGCTGTCTGTCCAGGTTGAGCCCTGCCTTTTGCCTACAAACTGCTGGAGCTAGCCACCAGCAAGAACAAGTGAGACACTTGATGAAAGGATTCCTTCTGTTTGCATCGCCTTGTTTGAGGTCTGAAACAAAGCAGAAATTGTGGTATTAATACAACACAAAATCTCTAAAGATACTTCAAAAAAGATTGCTCAATAAATTGTCAGTTGAAAAAAGATTTATTAAAACCTTACATAGATTCACTGATATAGTTCAACTGTTTATATTTGTTAATATTAATATGATGAAAATCTGAAAACCATTTAGGTAGAACGCTTGAATATTACCAGAGATGAATAAAAGGCGTTGTTAAGACAGTCAGGAAGGAGACTGCTAATAGTTATCTGAAGGTAGATAGACACTAGCACCCTCCCCGTTTCTTTTAAGCATTTCTTTATGGGGAAAAGAAGAGATTGGTCTTATGTAATATTAATATTAAAATTTTCTGAGGTTAACTAAAGCATACATCTATTGGTATAGAGAATATTGATGGAAAAACCCCTATGAGAGCCGGGTTTTTGTTTTTGTTCAAGCCTGTCTAACTTGTTTAGACAGACACGCACAAGCTCGCCCCTGAACACCTTGAACGAGTGTCAACAAAATGGCAGAGGTATGATTACTATGATAGGAAGGTGTCACGTTGAAACCCCACAGTGCGTCATGGTGTAGTGTTATGCAAATGTCTACACTGGAAAAGGTTTGACTAAAGTTAGACGTTTATTATACTTCTCATTAGTGGCATTTCTAAATGACAGCATGCTTCAGAATGACACAGACCTGCTATATTGTTGCAGTGGACCTTTCTACCACTACGTAAAGGAGAACGGGTGGTTTATGTTTCGTTCTTGTTTTCAGTCGGTTTGGAGTCCTTAAAACCGGAGCAGCAGGTCGAGTTTCCCCTGTGGACTTCGCAGCACCGCCGCATGTTTCGGATCACATCCTCGCACATACTCTCCATGTACTTATTAGCTGCAGGATGTGGAAGGAGTTAGTCAAATATCCTCCTAGGCCTAAGTCTAAAACAACGCACAACATCTGAAGTACCTTGTAAACACTTCTGGATGGCGCATGCCTGCTTTTGACAAGGATCTTTCTGTGGCATTTCTGAAAATAAGTCGAAGACGCATTTTAAAACACGTTGTTTTCCAAGAACATGGTAATGGACTCAAAGTGACTCCCACCTCTGTATATAACATTGAGGCTACCCGCTACTTCCTACCCCGACACTGTTTTGGTCATGTGACACATCGACGGCGAGTCGTCACTTTAAAAAAAAAAAATAAAGAGCGACATCTTGTGGAGGGAGGCAGGATTACATATAGAACTTTTAAAGAGTAAATATTTCTAAACTCTTGTAAACCTTTAGGGAAATATGTGTGTATGACAAAACTTTTATAATTTAAAGCTGTACACTTAAAATGACCTATATGAGCTAAAATGACCTATATACTGATATCTCATATAACTTGATGAATAAAATATTGTTTTTGTTACAATAGAAAGCACATCTTTAAAAAAAACATGCACCTCAGTAACCATTTTCAAGTCAGATCATGAGCATCTGTGTTGGATAAAAGCAAAATATCACTTTGCCACAGCAGATATCTAAAATTAGACAATCACTGTACTGATGAGTCATCTAAAAGATAGTGAGGGAAAGACAGGCTGAAAATGAAACAGAAACAATGAACAAATGTGATTATATTAGAAGGCATTGCATTATTTCATGTACTGCTGGACTTTATTGCTTAAGAAAACCCAAGACTGACATTAGTAATCTAATAAAAGCAAAGGGCATCATCATCAGTAATTGAACCAGTTAGTGAAAAGCTTATTTTTATTGATAACAATAAGAAAATCAAACCAAGAAACAGCTCGTATTTACAGCAATTCCCTGCTGCTATTCATTTCAGTGCCAATAGTGGGTATGTGTCTGAAATGTTCCATAAATTCATTAAATTAGTAGGTAAATAAGACTATCATAAATATTTACTATACAAAAAACATCACATGTAAATCCTAAAATGTGAAATCTACCCTAAATCAACAGCTATATATATATATAAAATTACAGTTACCAAATATAACATTTTAACATGATCCTCATCAACATCTGCGGAATCATAAATGTGTCATAATTTCCATTTTCAACGCAACAACAGTTAAATCAGTTCAGATGAATTTTCCCTGTGAGTCAGACAGCGTGCCAACTGATCCGTTGTAAGACAGCAAGCTTCAAACACCTGCGCAAAAGCAAAAGGAGATTTCAGGGTTAGGATGCAGAGTTTGGAACATTTTAATAACTGCAGCAACATATAAATCTTCCCTCTACCTTTGATCTTTTCTTTGATAATGAACTGCTTGCTCTTTTTTTCCAGCGTGTTTGAGGCAGTGCATGTGTAAGTGCCTGGGGGCAGCGAGGATGAAGTAATAACAGCTTCTGCCTTCATTTTCTCTTCTGTGGGATGGACGGACTGCCAGCTGTATACAGGCGTAGGGTTTCCCACGGCTGTGCAGTTTAAGTTGACTTCAGCCCCTGCTGTAAAGTCTAACACCTCTGTTTCAGGACTTAGAAATGTTGGGGGAACTACAAAGGAAAAACAAATAAATAGCAGTGTTTAATTTTCAGCATAAATATACACATTGCCATGTAAAAGTGTTCGTAGCACTTGAACTTTTTCAATTTTTTTCCACATTCCAGTCCAAAAAGTTAGTATGTTTAATTTTAAATCGCCAACACAAACTGAATGCTGAGCAGAAGAAAATAGTAGAGTGCTTAAAAATCTTCACAAATAAAAATCTGAAAAGGTCACTGCACAAACAGCCTCACAAAGACCAAGAGACACAGCAGGCAGGTCAGCGATAATTTTTAGATTATTTAAATAGCAATCTTATCAAGATATGGCTGCCAATCTAAACTGACAGGTTACAATTATTCAACAAATCGGAGGCCGATAAAAACTCGTGGAGAGTGAGAAAATCTGTCCAAAGCTTTGAAGATTTTACAATTAAATATTTGCACTGAATTTTCACAACAGACTGACAAAGTGCAAGTAATATTCACTATATCCACTTGGAATAAAGTGTATCCATTCTTTTTTGGCAAATGTTCTATTCTTTTATTGATTTTAAAAACTAAAAGTAGAAATGAAGTGTTTTTTTAAATAACACGTTTCCAAAGTTGTAGAAAAGTAAAGTTGTCACTATTCATTGTCAAAGGAAGTTGACAAACTCATGCTAGAATGGCCAAGTCAAAGTTCAGACCTAAATCCGGCTGAGATTCTATGTTCAAAGACCCTATTATGCTACATTTTCTTTTGAGTTCACATCTATGCTCTACCTTGTGTTGGTCTATAAAGTGTTATATGTACATATAACATAACTCACAGTATACGGACACAGTGAGGGGCTCTGAGGCCAGAGTGGGAGGCGGCTGTGGTCCCTCTGGTCCAAGGTCCAGCTCCGCTACACACTTATACTCTGCATCGTTTTCTGCTTTTGTTGGCGTGATGACGAGGATAGAGGACACTTGTACGGGGGAAGAAGATGTGAGGTCAGAGAAGGAGTGCTGATAGACCCCAGTCTGACCTCGGTACCACCTCAGTGTGAGGTACTGAACAGGAGCGATATTCTGAACCTCACAGAGCAGCTGGTACTCTCTCCCTTCCACCATGGGGCCAGTGTGGTTCGCCTGCCTGATGGAAATGCTGTCTGGAGTTTCTACGTAAATAACACACATATTTCTAGTCAGGCAAATAAGTTCATTTAAGTTGCAACCATATACCGATGTCAAGAGCCGACTCACTGTAAAGAACAAGGTTGAGTTTCTCCTCACACTGTCTCGGAGCTGTGAAAAAAACCCCATAGCAGATGGGCTCCTCTATCCACTCAATAAGGCTGTCTACCTTCCACTGGACAGACCGGTCCTCCTGTGTGTGCACCGCACCAATGGCCGACTCCCAGCCCAGGACACGGACCGGGCGTGTAGCTTCACAGCTGACCGTGACTGACTCCCCGAAGCCCACCACAACCCTGGACGGCTTGAGAATAAGGGAGCAGCCTTCTCCTGACACTAGAGGAGACAGCGTCAGTCGCCAGTAAGAGATATTGTGTCATGAAAAAGGATCTACCCCCTCCCCACCCCCCTTACAGATTTTATGTTTTTGATTTCTTTTTCGCACCTAATTGTTTCAGGTCATCAAACAAATATTCAATTTAATTTAATGAGTTATGCAGCAGGAAGGTGATCCAAAGCACATCATCAAGTTTACACCTAAATACCACACAAAAAAAAAAGAATTTGGAGTGGTCTAGTCAAAGCTCACACTTAAATTTTATTGAAATGCTGTGGCATCACTTTAAATAGGCTGTTTTTATTTTTCTCAAAGAACCTCCCAAGGTTGGTAAATTAAAACAAATTTACCAAGAAAAGTGGACAAGAATTTCTCCAGAGTATTTACACCTCTCATTTCAAGTTATCGCAAATGCTTAATGGCACAAGTAAAGAGGATTAACTTTTTCACATAGGGTCAAGTTTGCTTGAATAGCCTTATCTCTTTCAAAAACAGTCATTTAAAAAGTATTTTCTTTTTCAGGTTTGATCATCTTGTTAGATCTTATGTTAAAAACAGAAGAAATCTGTAAGAGGAAATAATTTCACCGCACTTGTAATGAAAACTACCATAATGGGTTTAATCCTAATTGTAACACAAATTAGCTTTTGTCTAAGTTTTTCAAAAAATTTTTTTTACATTCACTAATCCCACCAAAGACTTAATGCATTCGACTGTTAGTCCTAGCTTTTTCATTTGCATCACCTTTACGTCAACATTTCTGTCCTGGACATCATCTGTATGCAAAACAATTGAGAATGAACATGTAGTCCGCAATTTCTTACCTTTACAAAACATGCAAAGTACGAGTATCCAAATAAGAAAGTTGTTTCCCATGGTACAGTTTTCTTTTTTTTTTTTTTTTTTGCTCGTCGACAGAAGAAAATTCCAACTTGAACCACCCTGGCAACTCTGCAGGGAACTATGTTGGAACAAAGCAGAAATCCCTCCCAGCTGACTTTACAGATGGGAGGGGGTAAAACAGGGGAAAACTAAAGGGGAAGAGTGGGAAAGTTAACAGCCCATTATTTCTTTCACATTGAATTAAAAGCTCAGAAACACATCGGTAGATGTGCAACAGGAATACCTGACCCACCGGACACTTACGGCTAAAATCTGTGGAACAATTTGCTACTTCAACTGCACAATGTAAATCTACCCAAAGATTAAAAACAAACACAAATAATGATCTTTTAACGTTCAATCTTCACAGTCACATCTCTATGGCTTTGGGTTTAGCCATGATATAGACTCATAAAACATTTTAGAGCAAATTTTAGGCGTCATAAAAAACTGTGCAGAATAGCTTGTTTTCAGTTCCTCTTGCACACTTGTTTGAGACTGCCTCAGGCCTTCATGCTTTGTTAAATCCCAGCAGGCAGGAGAGCTGGTCTCCTGCAGCATGTGAGCTTGTAAGACTCACACTGTGACCAGAATGCTGCACAGCACATCGGCTCTGAGTGTAAGTGTGGTGCAAGAGAGCAAAAAAACACAAAAAACAAAACAAAAAAAGCAGATGGTTTTTAATGTATTCATGGAGAGGACAGCTGGGAAACTTTACACCTTACATTGTTCATTCTCACATCACTTGCAGCTTTAAATGCCCCACCTAGTCCTCCGGGATAAACATTTCTATTGTAAAATCTGTATTGTTTAAATGTGCTAACCTAGCCCATCTGCTAGGTTGCTATGGCAGCACAAGAGAAACATAAACAAACAGTTGACCTACTTTTCAGCTAGGTCTCTGTTGGAAATGACAAGAGAATAACTCCAAGGACACAGTTTAAGGACGAAAAAAATAATACAAAAGACAGGATAACACATTCGCCTCTTTACATTCACTCTGTTTGGATCTAATTAGTATGGCAGTCTCAGTGCTGTATAATGTACGGCTTCCTGAAAGAAGCAGAAAAAAGGGACCGAGGGACTGACAAAGGGGGGGTGAGGAAACACAGACGCTGTTTTGACTTTGCCTCAATCAGTATTCCGCTTAAGGAGGTCGCCAACACAGAAATTGGCTCAGTTGTATGTTAACCTTTTGTTTTGCAGATCATTTAAAATAGGACTAATTTATACTTGTTTTGTTTTTTTTTGTTTTACATTATTTTAATGTTTACTTAA